CTAAACCCACCTTACCTCTGTGTAGATACTTGTAGTGTTAAGAGTTATGTCGGAATGGTAATTTATTGCCTATAGAAAAGACAGACACTACAAAACGTTAGTCTATAATTACACATCTTCATTTTGACTATTGTATCATATCGTTATTAGGACATTTTAATACATTTTGTACTTATTTTGGTTGTATAGAAGTCTTACAATCATACAATCTCATGTATGAAAGTATGCCCCCCTTCATCTTCCAGTTACTATCTTTAATCTTATACTTTTTTAGTTCTTCTATGACATTCACTAGGAGATGTTATTTGTCAAATCCACGACCTTTACATGTTTCTATAATATACTCCTACCGTTTTGTCTGTTTGATTAATTGGAAAATAATTTGGACAATCGGTGACTCGGACAAAAAGTCCAAAGGTCCGAGCTTTTACGATACGGTTTTGTTTACTTGATATTGAATTGAAAATTTTCCCAATATACTTATGTAAATAAAATAGTGTTTTCGTTCCAATGTAGCACACTTAACCTAGATCTTCACAGTCTTAGTTATATAAAACAAAGACACAGTCTCATTTAAGTCCTACCTTGGTATTTTCCATTTTGTTCGATTTAAGAATTGGAGGCGGATTTTTTTTTTGGGTAATGAATATCACTTTTGGTGGGAACTTACTACCATACCGTATCTGATTTTCGAAATTCCTTAGGGTTGTATGTATAGATCTTTCATGGGATCATAGTTCTAACTCTCGTTTGTCAATGTAAACTCTCTCTCTCTCTCTTCTGACCTGACTGGAAACCCGTGTAAAACCGTGTAAACCTATGGTAGTCACGGTAAACTGGAAAAAGTTCCATTGGTATGAGCATGTTTATTACAATAGTAGGTGATATCCATTAGTAAGTTGTAGGTTTATGTTCACAAAAATATTTTTGTAAAAAAAATTTTAATGTAAAGGAAAAAAATACCATTTACCACACACACCACACACCAGAACACACACCTGAAACGTGTCAGGAATGTACAAACAGGTGGGCTGATTGTGGAAGATCCTTCCAAATAATGTGTTGATGTTCTAATCCTTTTGTAGCCTATGTAAACAGAGGGTTGTCCTCGTCTAAAATAAATCTGTTTTATTGTGTGATGTTTTGAGTGATTTTGACTTTATTTGTGGTTTTCGTAAAGAAAACATTTTGGGTCGACCGTTTTTTCGTTTTTACATGTGTGGACTTACACAAATCCACAAAAACTTTAACTCCGTGGTTCCGTGAATCCACCTTCTTCTATCCGAAGTGGCAAAACAACGGTCGTGGTCTCGTTGGAGGACTCGTGCCACCGTAGAAGGGGTTTATTATGAACCCTTACGTATGCTCACTACTACCCCCCTCACCACCACCACGACGTACCCTGAAGTGGGAGTAGAACCACGCGAGGAACACTCTTTCCTTTCGGACAAGTGGTGACGTTACAGGTCTTTTACCATTTTTTTTCCAGAACATGGTAAAGTACCAAAACACCACTTGGCCGACATCATGGGTTGGTTTCGTAACCTGTGTAGATGCAGCGGGGTACGAAGACAACATCAGGTGGTGTGGCGCAGGTCCTTGCCATTGTTAGAATCAGACGGTGTCGTGGTTGGGCAAAGTTAAAGGGAGGGCTGTCAACAGGTGACTTAGTCTTCTACGTCTCCCTCCGAACTCAATCATGACCACGTACTGCAGGCCGCCGCATTCGAACCTACAACTACCGAGACCCCGTTGAAATACGACTAGACTACGTTGCCAGGCATCGAGCCTACCGTCTACAAACTACCGACCCTAGGTCTTGGGTACAACTATGACCAGAAGTAGTGACCACTTTTGGTTTACACCTTTTTTGTTTAAGCTAATAAAGTGTACCGAATAAGAAATTTTTTACATTGAGTTTAGTCTTTTATTAAGGAGGTAACATCGTACACACCTTTANAGGAGTGTGTACTGTAGACTAGACTAGAGTGCTTACGGAGAGCACAGGAACGCGTTCCAGCTCTTCAAATATTGCAGTACCCATAAGGAGCCGTACACAATGTGTACGGCTCCTTATGGGTACTGCAATATTTGAAGAGCTGGAACGCGTTCCTGTGCTCTCCGTAAGCACTCTAGTCTAGTCTACAGTACACACTCCTTTCAGACGAGACATAACCACGTGAATACACATTACGCTCGTGTTGTGTTCAAGGAACCTGTCCTTGGTCAGGAAAAACAGGCACTCGCTTGTTTAATTATTTTGCGATCTAGATTTCTTCTTCTTTTTTGAAGTGAGAAGTTGTCCATCAGTCGGACGGACCCCACCCCCCCCCAAAAAAACTAAAACTCTTCGGTTCTCCACGAATTACACAAGTCACCCAAAGCAGCGTTAAAAAAGCGGGAGGCGCCGAAAAGCGACTAATTTGCATCACTGTATAACGGTCTGTTTGCATTGACAAGATGTGCTATTCACGCGGCACACCTGATATAAAATATATTCCATAATCGGTTTTCTTCATATTTTTAATGTATTTTTCATTGTTTGTTCAGTACTCACACACACACACACACACACACATTGAATTTAATATTCATTTGACATGTTAACTATATCGTAAAGCGCTTCATGGGAGTAATTGTGGGATGATACATTTTCAAAGTATCACGATATGTATCGGTTGAGTATCGGTATCGTAAAAAAGTCAACGATATGCATCCCTAGTCTGAACTTTTTGCGAGTGGTGGAGGCTTAAATGCTAGTGGGAGTTGGGTTTGCACTTCAGTCTTTTTTCTTTTGGTACTGGTGATATTCACGTTCGGGTTTCAATGAGTGTGCAAGTTTCATGTATTGCCAGATGCGTAACCAATTTTAGTTGAACAATGCCGACAAACAGCTTTGGTTCGGTCCACCTGTCTTTGTCCGTCATCTTTGTACGTAACTGCGAAACCAAAATGTTCCCAAACCGGAGACTTCAATGATGCTGGAGGATTTTTGAGCTCAACTTTATCTGCGTTCGACATTTAGACAGTTCCTCAAATTACTGACAAAATTTTAACGCATCCCTGTGACCAGCTCTCATAGTATGCTTCTCGTCCAATTAAATGACTTGGTCGCTCTATGACGCGTTGAAATTGCACTGAACGCTGCGTTCCTGCAGCCCCGCCCGGTGCATGGGTTTCAGGAACATGCTACTCGAACGCTGCGACGCAGCAGCTGAGATTACTTCCAAAAAGTTGTTCACGTACCGAAATTATTCGGTACGGGTGTACCGAACCGAAGGGCCCGAATTGTACCGAACGAATATAACGTTAAACGTAAAAAATTGAGTATACCGTTACACCCCTACCATCCAGTTATTTTAGCCGGGCCGGCTATATTCATTGCTATCGGGATGTTAAGAGCATTCCATGGAATATAACAAAAAGTGTATCTCGAGGTGGTTTCTGAAACTTACCTACCCCACCTTTAAGCATTACCAGCACACATAACTTGTAGAATCTGAATAATTATGACTTTATTGGTTATCTTTATATATAACCAGAGGTGCACATAACTGGTACGCAGGTACGCGGCAAAAATCTGAACTGCGTAACGTCACTTGTGTCACTACGTGCCACTACGTGCCACTACGTGCCTACTGAAGCCAGTCCCCAACTCCGAGGACTTCGGGTGGCAGTATACGCCGTGAAGTCAAGCGCCGCGATCGGTACTTACGTACTTACCGAATGAACTCGGTACTTACCGTTCATGAGCACTAAAGAGTTCTCATGAACCTTTGTGGGAAAAGTACTGCGGTGTGAATGCGCATAAAGTGCAGATTGGTCCATTTCAGAATAATATATAGGATATGTTTTGTTATGATTGATCATTAAAGTGTTATCAAAGCTGGTAAAGGTGCAGCTAATTTTACAAAGTAGATCAAAGTCAAGTAAAGTACAAATATCTCAAAATTGTACTTAAGTACAGTACTTGAATAAGTGTACTTAGTAACTTCCCACATCTGAAATCGGATATGACTTCAAGTCATGTGATCATTTCTTAGTATTTGATCCTTCAATTCATCTGAGTAACTCACTAAAAAAGTGATGTGCACCCCTGTATATAACTTTCTCTCCGGCAATCCGCACCAGGCGGCATATATTTAAAATCCCATTGCTAAATGTTAGTACAGATCAGGGCGATAAATTCCTGAGTAATAAAAGTGTGTTGAGAAAGCAGAACATTTCACAACAGCACATTATCAACAACCCTCAAAAGATAAACAATGGCACGGTGCAGGCTACAACCTGCACAACATAGCTCTGGAACTATCTTTTGGAGAGGCAAACCGACCTCTATGGGAAAAACTTCTCATTTAACTTTGAAATGAATGAGGAGGGTCAATTCTCGTTTATCAATACTGTTCATAATTAACTAGTTAAATACACCAGCGAGCATGAATTCGAATTTGAACAGAGGCCAAAGGTCCGGCAGGCTCTGTTGAGAGCCGGTAGGGCGGGGACGGGCTGGTTTGTTTACATTTAGCGGTCGAGAGGAGCTCCATTCACAACTACGGAGAAGCAGCAGCTAACTGCTAGCTAACGTGTTTGTATAACAACAAGGGCGAATGTTTACAGTATCACAAGATATACATTTCTGGCTTACGGGTGTCCACGTGACAGAAAAAGCTGCTACTAGTCAATATCAACAACAGCGTCCCCAAAGCTGTGTGCTAGCCTAGTTATTTTGGCTATGTAGCCACCAAAACAGACACAGTGGAATGCGGCTAACGCAAAGATAACCACAGGAGGGAATGTGGGGTGAAGGCAGTCGGCTAATTCACACTGTTGCTAACAAAAATGTCAACAAAGAAAATGGCATAGGGAACAGGATGCGGAGTTCTTGCTAACATGCTAAAACACGTGGTGCTCTCAACCCTGCTAGCCACTATCAACCCAATGTTGTTGACTGTTAACTTTAGCTTCTCGGCTACTAGCGCTAGCATCCACATGTTCGCTGAGAGGGGGAACTTACATTCGTGGTAACTGCAGAGGAGGGGCGCCCCGTCTCAGGAACACTCCGTCTACAAACACCCCGTTTTTACCAAGACACCTCAGGTAAAAATCCCCGCTGCCGGTACCATCGTCGCTGGCGGTGAATATCTCCAGATGCCTCCGGGAGATGAAGCTGGAGTGGCCCATACTCACGTCCACTGAGCCCTGAGACGAGTTCCGCCCGATGGTCACCGAGCGCTTTTTCATCATGTATTCGAATTCACGGCCCTCAAGCCGGGCAACCGGCCCAGACGATCCGCTCACCACGGCCATGTTCGTGTTTAAGTCTCAAAATGCCAAATACTGGGGCAAAATAAAACGGTGTATGGACGCCCGACTGTGGCCTAACAGAAGGGTCTAAATGGATCAAATGTACAATAGGGGCATCAAATAGAAAACAGGAATTTAGAGGGGAACATGCGAGGCCAGGGACAGCGGCTCCGACCCACCGCCGAGAGAAAGGGTAGCAGAGAGCTCCAACCAAACAGAGCAAGAGGCGGATATACTTTTACTGACAGCGCGCTCCACCAATCAGAATACAGGAAGCCGATGCAGCCCTGGGACTGCAACAAATCACGCGTGAGTATTAATCTGAGGACAGATTCAAGGTCGGTTGGAGAGTAGAAATACGCGCATATGCTGCTTGGTGAGAAGCAAGAAGTGGCGTGTACGGTTTTTACCAAAGCAGGAAAGGAGTGGATCAACCGGTTTACACGTGCAATCTGTCACAATAATCACTACAGAGAGAAATTATCGACAATCTACAATAATGCATCGATATCACCATCCAATCGTGTATTAAATGTCACAAACTACCGCATGTATGAGATTATTTTGCAGGATCAATTCTCCCTTCAGTCTCTACGTCGCAGCAGCGCAAAGCCACACTGCATGATGGTCTTCCTCCTCCACTACAGAATCAATGACACGTTTTGCACGTTGCCCCCTTTGCAGCATATTGTCATTTTGAACTGAATACAGAAATTAATTTAAAAGATTCCTCATAAAAACCAAATGTTTTATTCTCGACAGAAAGATTGGGGCTTTATATGCCCTTGCCGGGGCTGCAGGTTTATAATCCTGAGCTGTCCTGTATGCAGGCCTTGTTATCATACGGGTGAGTGACCCTGCCATCTGTAGGCCACTTGTTTGTAAACACTGTCTGTGCGGAAGTGGTGTGTGCGCGCGTGCAAGCAGACATCAGATGATAACAGCCATGGCGAGTAAAGAGTAAAGTAATGATCACTCGCTAACTGATTGGTTTCATTGAATGCAGCATGAATGCAAAACAATCAAAAATAATACATTTATTTCATGGTACATTCTAGTTTGTAGGTCAGAAAACATTTCCACATATAGAACTAAAAGAGTAACATGGTCATAAAGCCTTATGTGTGTCAAAAGCTTTTATTTAATATATTAATATAGCGATTTGATACACAAGATTTATGTGACATACTTTGCCACTTAAAACAAAAATATGAGTCCCTTTATAGTTATACATTAAATTGTCATCAATTATAAAGCTATATGATCAGTTATTTGTCACAAAAAGTGATCATAAAAAAATATCCAAAACGGCTTGCTTTTGCCTGTTTTTGATATTGTTAATTCATTAATAATATTGTTATCATTATTATATTTCTGAAGTTTGTTCAGACAAGCATCTGAAGAAATAGCTTTTGGCATTCTCACAACTTTTTCACAAAAATAATCACATATTAATGATTGGTCAAAAATATTCGTTGTTATTACCCCACATTTTATTATTGCATTAAGTTAAAATACAGAATTAATTTGTCCAACTGCAAAGATATGAAAACATACTACTTCAATGATGCCCATCAATTATTTCAATACTTGGCCAACATACGAAATCAATTAAATTAAGTATTTTATTTTAGAAGAGTATATACTTAATCATAGTATGGTTGAAGGGCATCATTCACCTGTAACTTTTCTCCACTGGAGGGAGACATGCACCGCCACAATCCTCCAAAAATGACATCACAAAATCGCCAGCCATTTTAAGCTTTTAAACTGAGGTAGTGTGCACAAGCAGAATAATGAACATCATCACTTCATCACATGCCTAAAGACAGATGTATGTGCCCACAACCACGTGTACCAGTATTTATCTGCTTATTATGAAAAGCATTTGAAAGGTGGATAGGCCTACTATCAATACAAGTTCCCTAATGAGACATATCCTTATCTGAGAATTCATTCACACACCTCAGATTTATTACTTGAAGAAAGTATTTTGATGGCAGTTCTTGTATTACAAATCTCTGGTAATCATTCATATGCCGATGGCAGAACTTTTAACACATGATAGCATCATATCGTAACCCTGTTGTTGTCTCGCCTACCATTTTAACTTGACGGAATATCTCTATCCTATCATAGTACAATGACACACATCGTGTGAATACAATTTATGGGTACCATTATCCCTCATGGATCATATCTGTAAAGTGTAGGAGTATTATGCAAATATCTGTGTAGTTTGTTGTGTCTTATCTTGCATCTTTTTTATTTATTGCTTTGTTAGCCCTGCTTTTTTCAAAACTTGAGCTTCTTTAATAAGTATTTACATTCTTTTTTTCAAACTATTATCTTATCTCATCCCTTCTTATCTCTTGTATCAAGATGAATAAATAAAGCCACATCTAAAATATTAAAACTTAAAACATTTATAAGTGTTTCTTATTATACTTCCTGTGTACTGGTGGTTTTTCCACTGGCGACAGTCAGTCCCATTTTTTTGTAGGAATTGTAGCACAGCTAATGGGAATCAACTATTAGCTAAAGCTCTTTAAAACCACAGGATTAGGAGTCATGACGTTTGTTTTCTCAGCATTGCCGACAAAATGCTTCATCATGCTGTGTTATTTGATTAAGGCTGTAACCAACCAGGAAGTGTATCTGAGCCTCGTGCCCTTGTAAAGTAGAGCCTATCAATACACCATGTATATCACTGGAGATGCTATTATGCACTGACAAGTACAGTTGTGATTAAGATTATAATGAGATATATACCATCAAGACAACTTGGGAATTTCAGCACAACGGTGAAGGCGGCGCCCCGCGGGGGAGGAGGGGCTGAGCAGCAGGGTTTCCATCTCTTTGCAGTGAGAGAGCCCCATTACGCCTCTCCTCCATTTCCTCTCTCAGGGGCAGGAACCAAATGGACACATTAATAACACTCTCCATGTCTGAGGGGGCTAATGGTGCCTTGAGTGCTGATTAAGCCTGGGAAGAATTGGGCGTGGAAGGGAGGTATTAGTTTCATTCTTCTCAATGGCTGTTGTGGTGAACAAACTGAAGCTCAGTTCGCACAGCTTTGGTTTTCTTTCGAGGGAAAACCTATTGCTAAATTACAGAACGTGCCAGTACAGTAGATACACACCGTAAACCCCAAAGTTACACTATTCTTGCATCTATCCAATCATTTTAGCAGAACTTTTTAACTGTTCATCCATTACTGAAGCTATCTTTGAGCTACATATTTCAACTATTTATTCATGACTTTTAGGTAACTATTACAATTGTTTATCCATCATTTTTAGCTAACTATTGTAATTGTTTATCCATAACTTTAAGCTAACATTTTCAACAGTTTAAGCATTACTTCACATATTTTTTTCAACTGTATACCAATACTTGTAGCTAACTTAAGCTAACTATTTCAACAGTTAATGCATTATATAAGCTTATAATTTCATGGTTTATGCCTTATTTTTAGCGAACTATTTATACAATTATTGCAATAATTTTAACTAACTATTTCAACTGTTTATCAATTTATTTTTAGCAGACTTTTTAATCTGTTTCCATTAGCCTTCTTTTAGCTTACTGTTTTCCAATCCTTTTGGCTAATTAAATCGACGACTTATGGATGCATTTTAACCTAAAGCATCTGTGCTTGCTTGCTAACAAGTTTTAATAAACATAAATGCAATATTAGGCCTACAGGTGTTACAGCTGATGTTTACATATGTGGATATATTATTGTAATGAAATAAAATACCCATGGTTTCAAATCTCTGCTATTTAGATCCTCTTTGCTTTGTGAATGATCATGATTCCTGTCTTTCTGGATACCTTAGTGATTTTGCTTGTGTGAGAGAGATGTTAATTCTTCCTGTTGAACTCTGTACTAAACACTAAAATAACCCAGAGCAGAAACCTACAGTTCCTGTTTGGCCAGTTCTTATGGAGGTGCAGCCCAACAACACACAACAAAGATCACAACAAATGTCATTTTAAAGCATGTTTAGTCCCTAATTCCAAAAGCTTATACATCTAACATGAATGTGCAAAGATATGTTGAAATATAAATATCAAATCATAATGTACATGATAACATAAATAAGGCATACAGTTTCAAACATTTTTTTAAAATTTCCTTCCAATGAAAGTGCTGAGAAATACATTTTCCACTCCAACAAAGTCCAGGAATCAATGCTGTCCACATGCAACATGACAAGTTGTTTTACCCTGAAGTCGTAAGGGTGGAAAAGAGTTCTTTTTATCTCCTGGGATTAGTCAAATGTGTTCCTGGTCGTGCGCGGATTTGGTTTTATCACACATCCTTCACTTGAGGCAAAACTTCAAGGAGTGCCAGGCTCACAAATACATGATTTTTGACGAAGCTTCTGCTTCAATCTGTCCCTTCAGTCCCTTCCTCATCATCGTGCTGCTGGGTTGAAGGAGTCCGGCTCGACCAGCCCTGCTTCACACATACTGTCTCACAGTATGTCGTGTTTGGTCAGGTTGAGCTCCTCGTCAGACACCTTGATGTTCCCCATGTACCAGAATATCCAAAAAAACGTACTCATGAAGATCAGCAAAGGTCCGGACAGCACAAAAAAGTCCCAGTAACTCAAAGGGGCAAAGATCCCAACAAAGAAGAGGATAAGTCCGGCGACATCCAAAATCACAGCAATCGACACAAAGATGCTGGTATACTTCCCCTCCTTCATTGTTGGGCCTTGAGAGACGGACAGGTGGATGTCGTCTGAACGTCTGACAGGAGTGAGAGCAAGTCTCTAGACAAAAGAGCTTTCAAGATCATACTGTTTCAGCCTCAGCACACCTTACATTTCTGTCATAGCACAAGACTTGTTGGGAAGACTGGTATGCAACCACAACAACTGGTTGAGCTGCTCATAAACATGAAAGCCTCTCGGTCCTTCATTCCTGCGCAGGGCCGACTTGTTTTGCTACTTCCATGTCATTAAGGCGACACCTCAACCATTGTCTTTAAGCTGCATGGCAGATTTATGCACATATATTTCGCAATCAGCCGCCATTGAGCTTGTGTGTGCACAGCGATAAGCCTGCTATCATTAATTGAGGCCCCCCTGATCCTTTTTGTTCAGCTAATGACACTAAAGTGATTTGGAGTCGCATCAGTGTGTTGCGTCTTTTATCTGATGGTTCAAAGCTCGCTCTTGACTTTACTACTAC